TGCACAGAAATGCCAACTGAAAATGCTGGCTTGCAGTAACTGAGACAACAGGTAAGAGACCAGCACTTAGGAAGGACTGTGATCTGCCATTGGCTGAGGTGTGTGCAAGGCCAGGTGTGCAGCTCTCTGAGGAGAGAGCCCCTGGGGTCATGCCCTTCACATTTCATTTAAAGAGAGCTGACAGGGCTCCTGCCTGTGCAGCAGCTCGGCTGAGGGCTTTCATTTCCTTCTCTCACTATTCCAGCTTGTCTTGCCTAGGAAAGACTTCGAGCACAAACTTAATTCTACATTATTCTGGCATCATGTATTTCTCTGTTTACCAGTTGTATTAGAGTGTATGCAGTGTATACATGCAGTAGTATACATGCAGTCCAATAAAATCTCAACAGTCAGGATGTAATGTTCCTACCTCTTCCATTCTATCCCCTACACAATGCCATTGCTGACTTTCCTAAAATACCAGGCTAGCTTCTTCACTCAACAGCATTACTCTGAGTATGGCCCTAAAGCTGGCCTTGCTGATTCCCCAGCCTCCTCTCCCTCTGCCCCACAGCTTAACCTGTGCATTCCAACCAGACACAAATTTCCCTTCACTCTTCTCTCTAGGCACGCACAACGCTGTCATTTGTGTCCTTGCCTGTGCACTTTGCTACCCCCTGCTTGGAATGCCTCTCTCCACTTGGCCTACCCAATGAATTATTTATCTTTAAAACCCTATTCAAGAGTTACCTCTCTGAACCCTTCTCTGGTACCTTCCTCTGATACCTTCAGTTATTGCGTGTATCCCAGTGCATTCATGTTTGCCTGGCACAAAGTGGGTGACCAACACACACTTGCTGAACTGAACTTGGCCTCTCCTTGATGAATCCAGAAAATGCTGTTCTAGACATTCCCATGGCATTCTCACAGCCTGGCGTGAATAGAGCATTTACAAAGACATTAACCATTAGCCCCACAACAAAATGTACAAACATCGACTCTCAGGCAACTAATCCCAGCAAGATTCTGAAGCTTGCCCAGACAAGAGAACAGTCCTAAAGAGAAAGAAAAGGCTGAAGAACAAGCTTACATGATTGGAAAGAGTTGTTCTTGTGTTTACATCTAAAATAAAAGACTAAGATGTACCAAGAAGTTGTCTTGGAGATACTACCCAAACAGAGACCCATGGATGCTTTCAACGTGCAAACATTAAAAACAGTGACACCTTATCCATGTTGCTAATGAAAGCAATATGAATGAATAAAGTGGATGCACAAACCAACAAAACGGTGCCCTGGTCTTAGGTCACTCACTACGTGAGAAAACTTGAAAAAGTGGTGCTATTAATATTTTCAAATTATGCCTTTTACAAAACATGTCTCAATAAAAATATACATTGAACACACAACATCTAAGCTCTGTTTAAATTAGTCTGGCATGAAGAAAACTCAATGGACCTCACTCCCTTCTCTATCTGTAAGAACGAAGGCCCTCGGAGTTCTCACCTTTCATGGATCTATGTAATGCAACAGCATCTACAAAAGGGATATTTCCCCTTGGAAAGATATTAATACATATGTATTTTGCTTCTTTTGACTTAGAAACACATAGATTAAGTACATGGCTAGAAAATGTGACCTCTTTCTAAAGATGCCTGTGCTTTTGCTAAGGCAGCAATGCCTAGACATTTCATACTCTTCTATGTACCAGTCCCCATCTCTAAAAATACTAGCACAGTGACGACATTTTCCTCTGACCTCTACCTACTGCAGAGGGTAGTGAGATGAGGGGGTGATGGTGTTGATTAAAGCCATGCATTTCGTAAAAGAGACAATAAAAACTCACTATAGCTATCATGTTAACAACCCTGGCACTGCTTGGCGCTTTAAAAATCTAGTTATATTAGGGGCTGAAGTTCCTTGTTACTAAGATGCTGTAAAATGCTATCCAGCCCACTAGTCCAAGCAAAGCTGAAAGGCGTGGCCAACAAAGGCAACTCATTTAGAAGTCTCTCTTCTCTTATTCCTAGCACTGATTCACCCACTTGAAAACTATTTGATCAATTTGGTCTTTACCCTAAGGAGGAATAGATGAGAAATACGTGTGCCCAGGAAGTTCAAAAAAAAGAAAAAAGAAAAAAGAAAACAACAAGAACAAAAAAACCCCAAACAGTTCCAGAAAAAATACTTTAAGGAGGAAGTATCGATACATGTGCATCTAGATCCTTATCCCTTAAGTTCCTAGCAGTGGCCCAGGAGATAATGCATGGATACACCCTTTGCAAACTCAACCATTTGCTGATCTTCTGAGAGGAAGTCCAGATTTCCCAATTTGCATAACTATATTCTGATCTTTTCTAGAAAGGCTTGTCATATGTGTTTCTTTTTAGGGCTGCTGTGAGCAGTTTCTCATTGACCATGGGAATTTTAACAATGAAAAAGTTAAAGTTAAAAAACATTCAAGTTGACAACTAAAAAAGAGAAATGTGGGGGAAGAGCCTTTTGCCAAGCTGCCGGGCAAAATAATAAGGCAGATCCATTCTCTGTGTCCCTTGTTTCATTATTCATCTGTATTATTCACTTATTCAGTAAATATTTACTAAGTGCCTACTTTGCAGCAAGTATTATGCTTGCCCTAGAGCTACAAAATTATCCCTATCCTCAAAGATCTAATAAAGAAAATAAGAGATTAAAAGGAAGAAGATGAAATTTCTTTTCTTGTTGAATTCTCATAGCAACTGATAAGAGAAGGTAGATAAGGCTCTCCTCATCTAGCGAATGTAAACTGAGGCTCAATAATTTGTCAAGAGTCACACAGTCATCTGGTATTTGAATTCAAATTGTTTAATCCCCAAATCCCTTTTAAAATTTCTGTAGAAAGCAAAAATGAAAAGAAAAAAAAATAAAAGAGGAAAAAAATCACCTATTATCCTACCACTGTGATGAAAAGAACTGTTAATGTTTTGGAGAATTTTCTTCCAATTTCTCTTCTACACATAGGTTAAATTTTGAATTTTTAAAATGTGCTTCAGAGTTGTAATCAAAGTGTGTTTTGCTGCATGTCACAGAAACCCTGACAGGATTGACTGTGAAAGGCTCCATAATTCTATAAAGCACAAGAAAGAAAAATCATTGCCTACTATATTGTGCCACTGACTGAGATCTGTTCAGATTTCAGTGATGTTAAAGTGAAGGTTAAAATTGTGTGTCTTAAAATAATGACTTATTCTGTGTCCCACAAAGCCCACACTCATGCTGTCCACCTCCTGCCTGCAGGTGAGGGTGGCTTCACAGCATAGGGGACCTGGATCTCCCCTTTTAGATAAGCTCCTCATCTGAGCTGGGAGGCCCCTCCCAAAAGGAAGGAGAGTGCTCTGTATTTCTCACATACACATTGCTTTGCACCTAGTAAGCACTCAAGAAATATTTCTTGCCTGGACAGTGTGGCTCAGTGGTTGAGTATCAACCTATGAATCAGGAGGTCACAACTGGATTCCCAGTCAGGGCTCAATCCCCAGTGGGGTATGCAGGAGGCAGCCGATCAATGATTCTCTCCCATCATTAATGTTTCTATCTCTCTCTCCCTCTCCCTTCCTCTCTAAAATCGATTAAAAAAATGTATTTTTTTTTAATTTTCTTGTTGAACAAATACATAACTAAAGCTTTAGAAGAAATTTACCACAGGCCCAAAGAATGATGGGAGCCCAAGTTTTGTTGGTGAATAGTGGATTTGTGTGACTATGCTTGGAGAGAGGGGAGGAGAAATGGATGGAGTGCTGAGCCAGGGGCTTTGCAAGGTCATTTCCTCTGTCCAGCCTGCCACTGTCTCCACATTGACTCCTCTTCAGCTGTCCCTCCCCTTACAGTGAAGTTCTTGCCCAACCCCAACTCCTTAGAGCTGCTTTATTCTGCTGTCTTGGGAAATCACTCACACTTAAGCACACTCAATCTTAATTTCACTTTAAGTTTGCTTAGGGACACCACCCATTAATTTCAAGTAACAACTCATATAAAGCAAATTCAGGAATCAGCAAGAGGCAGATGAAGACAACCGTATTTTTCAGAAGTTAAACACTCTGTCTAAATGGACAGTATCTCTCCTGCTTATATAAGAAGGTCCGAATGTCCTTGGGAAATAAAAGGCTATGTATAGTGTGAGTTTCAATGATTTGACAATTCACATTTCTATGGATGTCTACTTAAGATATCTGTTTGAGTCAGCAAAATGGGTTTAAATAGAGAAAAGAAATTCAGCGAGACTTTGTTCTCCATGTATGTTCTGAGTTAACGATAAGACCTGCACATTTTGAAAACCATCGTGATTTCTCTTGTCTTCCTTCCCTCCTCTTCTTTCTTCATCCACCTATCAAGTATCAAGTATCTGTGTGTGTTTAGGACATGTGCTAAGTTCACTAAGAGAAATAACAATGGGCCAGAAAATTCTGACCTCAGAGGGAAGTCTCCACAGTAATAAGTGAAGACATCTTTTACTCACAGAAAAGTAAATCACAAGGGAGAGAAAGCCTAAGCACTGTTTGAGATACAGGTAATATAAAAACAGGATTTAGAACCAGGAGACAAAAAGCCCAGCTAGGAGATCAGGGAAGGCTTCAGAGAGGAGGTGTCATTTCACCTGCAGGGCGGAGAGGAGCTAGGCATATGGGAATAGGGGCAAAGTCTTGCACATGGGCAAAAGGACTGCATTTTACACGACTGTTTATTGTTTATATAAAAAAATATGTCACTGTTAAGGCCTATCCATGAGGTGTTAAAGTGTGGGTCAATAAATGGACCATCACCTTAGGCTGACCACTCTGGGGTGTCATAAGTCATACCTTCTTAGGGCCAAAGCCAAGAAAAGCCTATGAGATTTCAAGCTGATTAAGTGTGAAATTTTAGAGGGCATTCCTAAAAGCCAAGGCCTGGTGTAGAACAGAACATTTAAAACCCACAACTGGTAACTAAGACTTGATTAAAAGCAAGTTTTTTCAAAACTCCAGGGACTGACTGTTCCTGGCTTACCATGGACGTGGATTCCATTTGGTTGAAAAGAAGAGTTTGTTTCTGGCTGGTAGGACTTCAGGTGCGGTGCTGAGGCCTGCTGGGCATGGGGAGGCTGTGTCCTCTGCATTATGGAGGAGGGAGCTGGGACTCGCCGGGGACTGATGTGGTGAGGAGATGGAGCAGAAGGTGCGAACCTGAGAAAACAATTACAGAGGGAAGCATGAGAGATGGAAAATCACAGGGGCAGAGGCACTCTTCAAAGCCAAATTCTTACTCCCCATTCTGGTTACATAACAGCATGACACAAAGCCCTTTTAAAAACGAAACCTTAGGACTTTTGTCTCCTGTTTTTAACCACTGACCTCTCAATTGAGATACTGAGGGAATAAAAGAGATCAGCAAAGGGGAAATCTAGTCACGGTTTGGGTTTGTCAAGTTTCTTAAAATGCATTTCAAATACTCTGGGTTCAGTCCTTTTGCATTTTAAGGGAAATTTGATTCGTATGTTTCTGATTCATTTACACTTACCTCATAAACATTTTGTTCTGTAAGACATATCTGAGGCCCAAGAAGTGTTACAAGTCTTTATTATAAGCCTCTCTAATCCTATTTTATTTAACAATACATTTTCTTTTGCCAATAATACATTAACTTAGATCTCAAAGGTCAAATGTGGTTTGAAACCCAGAACCCCAAGAGATTGGTGTGGGTTCTGTGCATGGCAAAAAACACTGCCCAGAGTGTGACAGAAGTATAATGCGGGGCATCTTTTGCAGTCTAACAATCACAATAAGACTATTGGTAGTTTCTGAGGAGAGAAATACAGGTGTCTAAATATAGTAACATCAACACTTAACTGGAGTTAAAATAGATAACTGACCACCGACTTTCTAACTGTAAGGAGGAATTGGCAGGTTCTAATTCACTAGGTGTAAAATGATAGTGTATACTTTCCAACACTGAAGGGAGGGCACACTTGTAAGATAATGTTAAAGTTCAATAATGTCCATGAAAATGGTACTGGATTTCCCAGTTGAGCAGGGGCTGGCATAGTCTGTCAGTCAGTGAAAGGAAGAAGCAACATCTTGGGAAAACTAGGTTAGCAATGAATTGTTTAGTTTCTTCCCAAAGGCCCAGGAAGTTAAAAACTTACAACTGCCTGTTTCTTATATTGTATAGAAAGATAGGCTTTGTTTTACACTAACGTGTAAGGTTGCCATGTATGTATATTCTTTATTTCACAGAAACTCTGCTGGGCTTTTGTGTAAGGCCATAGATGACAAGAAAGGGATGAACCAGTCATGTTTGTAAAGTAATTTGCAATGTTCTGAACAAGAATATTTAATAAATCAGAGCTTCTGCATTTGTATTATAGCTGTGATAAACCATGAGATAAAACCCCATGTGGTTTTTGTATGTTTGTTTGTTTTGTTTTGTTTGTTTGCTTGTTTTTTGCATTCCCTCTGTGAAGAAATGAAAGGGCTATGCAAGAAACCCTGGCCGGGTAGCTCAGTTGGTTAGAGTATCATCCCAATATGCCAAGATTATGGGTAAAACCCCAGTCAGGGCACAGATAAGAATCAACCAATGAATGCGTAAGTAAGTAGAACAACAAATTTGTGATTTTTCTCTCTCAGAAGCGATAAAAATTAAATTATTTTAAAAAAGAAGGATCTGGACCAGTTACCCTCTGGAAAAGAGAAGTCAGAGAACACCTAATCAATCAGCTGGGTTAGGATGCTTGCTTAATCAATAATGTACAGTTTTGCTCTGCTGAAAGAGAATGGACACTGAGTAAATGTGGGAAATACATCATCTTAGTGGGAATTAGCCTAAGAAGGTGTCTGAGTGGCCTTCACAGAAAACAAGCAGAGGAACTTTGGCACTGTCCCAGGAACATCTAAAGCGGAGGTTATTTCCTTGGAGAACATGTCCTAAAAGTGTCTCAAAAGCTACTATGAGGTTGTGGGATAGGGATGAGGAATTATGGATCATGACCTTTAGGGATAAGAGTCCACACTACCACAAAGGAATTTCTCCAAGACAGAGAGCATAGCCTGGGGGCGTATGTGAATAGGAAGGCAACCTATGTCACTGCAAAAGAGCCATCACTGGGCATCTCAATTTTGTGTTTTGGGCAAAATGGCAAGATCATTTGACTGGATTCTTAATATTTCTTCAATTGGGGATGCAATATGTTCTATAAGATTTTCCAATTTTTCTTCCCGTATTTCTGCCACCTTTATTTTGAGGATGATGCAAAAGAAATGTATGCTTGGGGTGAGTTTCCATATTTAGAAGTATGACCCTGATGTCATGGGCCTGATGGAGGAGACCCATTCTGTTTCACAGCTCCCCAGCCCCACAGCAGAGTAAGTCCGACTCATAAACAAGGGTCTGATTAATAAAGAACAGAAAAGGTGAATGGGGAAGGGGAGAGAAGCAAAGATTGTCAGCAATAAAAAACTTTATATTTTTATAATTTGAGATGATGTGGCCATAAGCTGAATTATGATTATTAACTATGAAAAATGGAAAATATTCAACCAACTAAAAGAATAGAATTCAGTTGAGCATTTTATGAGTCACTGAGGAGGTAAATTCTATATAATGGACTATATACCTATACAGAGATTGCATACGCTATATAATAAAAGGCTAATATATTAATGTAAATCGACCAGTCACTATGATGTGCACTGACCACCAGGGGGCAGATGCTCAATAGAGGAGCTGCCTCCTGGTGGTCAGTGCACTCCCATAGGGGGAGTGCCACTCAGCCAGAGCTGGGTTTATGGCTGATGAGCACAGCAGCGGTGGCAGGAGCCTCTCCTGCCTTTGCAGAAGCACTAAGGGCCCTTTGGGGGATGTCTGACTGCTGGCTTAGGCCTGCTTCCCATGGCAGGAGCAGGCCTAAGCTGGCAGGCGGACATCCCCCAAGGGGTCTCAGACTGTGAAGGGTGCAGGCAGTCACCTCTCCCCAGTGCATGAATGTTATACACTGGCCTCTAGTCTACATATAAATTATAGATTTATTTATCTATCTACAGCATATATAATTATATGCTAATTATGTCATTCTTATTTTATTCATTCACACAACCTCCAAAACCAGACTATGTTGTCTTTGTTTCCACATATTACTTAATGTAATACCGTGTTTCCCCGAAAATAAGACATCCTCCGAAAATAAGACCTAGCGCATGAAAAGGTAAGACATCCCCTGAAAATAAGACCTAGCGCAACTTTGGGAGAAAAAATTAATATAAGACACTGTCTTATTTTCGGGGAAACAGGGTAATACTGATGAGGAAAAAAAAATGTGGTAGTAAAAACACCAATGTTTTATAGCATTGCTTATCTCAGAGACCCAAGGGGAATAAAATATCTACCTACTGTTCAAATAACTCTATATCTTGCTTTTTGCTAATTCAGATTGGATTTTTCTCCATGTTATTCAAATAAATAAAATTATATGGCATAAAGTTAACATACTTTTAAAATTTTCATTCCATATAAATTATTAATAAAAATGTAAATATTAACTATTTTAAGTAAACAAATGTATGCATAAGGTAGTATTTGATTTGAAAAGAAAATAATTGGTATAAAAATTTAACTTTTATATGTATAAAGAAAAAATGAAAAGCAATAAGACATGATCTCGAGTATCTGGATAATTGCTGAGAACAAGGAAATAAATAAGAATTTAGTATTAGAAAACCCAGCATAAGAAGTGAATGTGTTAATGTGACTGATTTTCAAGTGTAATACATAGAATCAAGTTTGTTACTATTTTAAAACACTACATAGTATTTTATTGAAAAAAATCTTTCACAATCCTTCAATTAATTTAATATGTTTATAAATGTAGTTAGGTGTTAACCAGCTCATAGTAAAGTAGAAATAGCTAACTAAGTCAGGGTGCAGGGCAGGAGAGGAGTAAATACAGTGGAAGAGAAGTCTACTATTAGAGTCATGGCCCAGCAGCATCCAAAAACAACTGCTGACAACTCACAGTAAGAGAGTTGCCAGAAACATTATTTCAAAACCCAAAAGGACGCAAGAAACTTGACTAGTTTGAGGCTATTTAACCCTAGAAGCAAGCAAACAAAAACCTGCACACTTAAACAGACGCTTACTGAGGGGCACATAAAATGTTCCTATTGTTACTGAAGGAAGGATGAATCCTGTTTTCTTAGTGTACTCAACTATTTTCCAAAAATGTTAACACACACATGCACCTATTAAAATGAATATGGTCAGAATATTCTGCCCCAAACAGATTTTTTTTTAAACTCAAAGAAGGTAAATTTTTAAAAATATTTCTAAAATAAATAAATGAACATATTGATGCTGAATATAAATTGCAAGGATTTACAACATTTCTCCTATGGAATATCTCATTTCCCGCACTGCATCAGGAGAGATGATGTCACTCCCATTCATCCTCAATGACAGCAGTGTCCAAGAGCTACCGCGTACTGTCTGACATGTCTCTGGGTCCACCCTGTCCCCCAGCTGCTGATGTGTACTTGACATTTCCCAGGTTTCATTCCTCATGGCTTTCCAGTCTCTTCTCTGGCCTTTTGTACTTTTAGAAAACAAAAGAAGACTGTTATGTAAATATGCAGACAACAGACTAGAATTAAAAGGAAAAAAAAAATCACTGCTTACCAGAAACAGATCACACAAAAGCAAATCACAGAACTGAGTCAACCACTTCCACTCATTTAGTGGAGGAGTTTATACAACCTTAACATGAGCCATGGTTCACTGGCTTGCCAAAAGAAAAAAAGAAGAAGAAAAAAAAAAAAAAAAAGCATGAGAGAAAACAGGTTTTAAAGGGCTCATAAAAGATTTTCTGAAGAAAAAAAGAAATACAACAAACCACTGAATATGTATCTAGACACTCCTTCACAAATGTCAGATAATAAGGGGCATTGGTTATGGTGGCCTGCTCCCAACCTTGCAGAAGGTGGGCCCGAAACACAAGGGTCAACTCTCCTGCAGATGTAGTAATCAATCTGTGTCATGATCAAGACACACAGAACTGGTGAGGATCACATGCAGAAACACTGCAGATGGCAGGAGAAGCTGATGGATGCCACGAAAGGCAGATGTACTAGAAGCCCTGGGCTTGAATCCTGCCACTGTCCCTTACCAGCTGGGCAATCGAAAATTACATGATTTC